AAAAGTATAGCGGCTTTTTAACCGTGTATTACAAGGCTGCAAAACGATATGTTTTCTAGTCGAATAATTTGTGTATGTCCTGAAGGATTGCAATTGTAGAACATTTTTTAATTGGTGTGACAGGGCTATGGTGAACATTAAATTATTAACTTCAACTTGTATTACAAATGAAGGGACGTATAAAATAAGAAAGAATATGATTTGGTTTATTTAATATTTTGTAAGGCATTTTTTTAAGAAAAATTTTTAAATTTCTGGATCATGAAATTAATTAATGGAAAAAGCATAGTGGATTTGAAGGGGTGTATTACAAGGCTGCAAAACTATATGTTTTTTAGTTCAATAATTTGTGAATGTCCTGCAAATTTGCAATTTTAGAAAATTTTTTTTATTAATTTTTTATATTCAACTTTTATAACAAATTCTTTTCCTTCTTTAAAAAAATGCATTTCATAATATTAAATAAACGAAATAACGTGTTTTAGTGTTTGACATGTCCTCTCGGGTTGATTAGAGAATAAATGAGGCAGTATTAATTCGAAAATTTAAAAAATATCCTTTGAAATGTGTATCCTTTAGTATCCTTATATATATTAATAATAATAATATAATAATAGATTGGCGCTTACACATATTGTAGTGTTTGCGCCTTAATGTTGTCACACAAAGCGGAGGGACCTACAATTTTACGATGACTCCGAACGGCGATTGTATTTTTATGAGAAGCTGTTTTTTCATGGCAGAAATACACTCGGAAGTTTGCCATTGCCTGCCGAGGGATGATCGCTGTTAAGAAAAAACCTTTTTCTATATTTTTTGGGATATTGCTTTGACCAGGGCTTGGACCCAGGTGCTGATGTGTGAAAGCGCGCACTGCTTACTACTACACCATAGCTTTAAATTAAACTAAGATTCTTCAAAACTCATTCAAATTAAAAATCTTGAAGGATAATATTTTTAAAGGCCATTTTTGACATGTTCCTAAAGGATAATTGGAAACAAAAGTTATAGTGAATATTGTTTCGAGTTCCTCTTTCATTTGATACCCATATCTCCATATTTTGTGTAAACTTTTGGAAATATATTATAATTTATGGTCCTTTGGAAAAAATCCTGACTACCAGGTAAAAAACCAAAAACGCAGATTTACTAAATATTACGTCCTAATACTGTAGGGAGTATAGTAATACCGTCTTATAAAGAAGTAAAATGAGTAAATTAACAAAACACGCGAACTGCAACAAGCTTATTCTGATAACTTTGACTGCAAGGCGGCACGGGTTGCCGTGGTTAGAATTGCATAAAATTTTATTCGGATATTTTTTAAGATAACACCAATGAAATGAGGGGGTATGCGTAAAAAAAAACAATGTTAATTTTTTGGGACAGTCTAATATATATATATACATGCAAATAGGTAGATGAATACATTCGAATGTTCTCGCTTTGAATGTAAAAGCAT